CTGGAATACTTATTATCATTGAACTGGTCTACATAATGTGAGCAAACCTGAGAGTTTCTAATTATTTCTTCCTTGTGTTTTGTTCTACAAATTCAGTGTAAAACTGAATCACCACAATCTAGCATATGCTCAGGTTTAAAAGTATTTGAATATTCTGTGTCCAGCACCAATCTTGATTTGTTTTTAATTACAGAACTAGCTGTCAGGTTGTAAAATGGATATAGGCTTAAAATTAAAATGTATTAAGTATTTCACTTAATAAAATGGATTTCCTGGTTACTTATGTCCTAGGATCCAGTCTCTGTTTAAAGTTCTTAATAAGTTATGTGGCTTGTGGGTAGCGGAACACATCTCATCAAAACAAGTTTTCACAGAGGCAGTAAATCTGTGTTTGGACTATGCTACTCAGGTCTGCAGGGAGTGGGAAACTGTGAGTAAAAGCAGACATGACAGATGTCTCTAAAATTATACATGATATGAGAAAAGAGGACTGGCAAAGAATTTTTTATTATCTAGTAATCCTAGTATCTGAGATCATCCCATGATGCTGACTGGTAGGAAAACTGGGAAATTCAAAAGGAAGTACTTTTTTACAAAGTACAAAGCACATGTTTAAACAATGGAATTTACTACCAGATGTAGCAATGGCCACCAATATGGATAGCTTTAAAGGGAATTCTTGTGTTCTCATGTGGGAGTTTATATGATTAAATACTGCTTCTCATACCTTCTCTTTATATAAAAGCTACTTATTTGGAAAAGGTAGACTCTTTTCCCCTCATATATAATTTTCTATTTCAAGCATCTTTCTTCATGGTGCTCCAGGTTTTTTCATGTGTGAGCCCCACTCTGGGATTTGAAGAACAGTGACCTGGCAGGAAGAAATGGGCCCCTAACCATTTGTATTGCCATTCTGAACTATTGCTTTTGGAAGCATGCAGAGAGGAATCAGTTGGCTAAAATGGGTAAATAGCAAGGGTTGGCTTGTTTAAATGAATGTTTGTACTTCAATTTTAAATGCCACGACTAAAGATTTTATTGTTTGTTTTCAAATGTTTTTAACACAGATGTTTTGTGCATTGAAGTATTTTAATGCTGGCTCTTGTGTGTTTGAAACATTTATGCTGCATGCTACTTAAAATGCCATTTTAAATATGCAATCAGTCTATGCATCACTGAAATAAATAATACAGGAACAAGTTTCTCCTTTCCTCTCTTAATTGAAGCATTATCCCCATCTATAGTTGTAAATGTTACTGCCCAGAGACAGCTTCAGTACATTGCTAGCTGTGCCTACATATGAGACCACCCAGCCCAGTCTTGGAAAAGTAGCTGTACAGGTGACTCCCTTGTTAGAACATCAACGCCTTGGAAACAGCACTTAGAAAGAAAAAAATAATCTTAATTTCTAGACCTCAACAGAAGAGGTAAAAACCAAGATCTATGTGGCATACGTGATTTTGTGAATTTGTGATTGTAATTTCTTAAGTTTTTACAGCTTGAAATGTTCACATCTCAGTAAATCATTTGTCACTTTGCTGTGCTTTGGGGCTCAGTGTAGCAGAGCAAGTCTGTGAATTTCAGCAAGATGACTTGCTGGACCAAAGTCCATGTCCTAGTGTTAAAGTTCTCCTGCTTGTTTCTATAAAACTGAAAGATATATCCTCTCCAGGCAGAAACCTTTGTTACTCTCCATTATAAAGTTCTAGGTTGGAATCATGCAAGACAATAGTGCTGTGCCAGTTTTGTTCTACTGACAATGCTTGCAAAAAATCAGTAGTTCAAACAATAATGAAAGCAAGACCCGATTTTAAATGGACTCTTTGATATAGCCTGAAAAGTAGAATCAATAGTATTACTAGAAAATGACAAAGTGCTAAAACCTTCTAAAACTAAATGGAAGATTCTGATTTATCAGGTCTCTTCCATATATGGAATTTGTACAGATGTGTCCAATCTATCCAGGCTATTTTTACAATGTTAAAACTACCATCATTTAGAGTACAATTCTCTGAAGAGCACTCTATCTTTGAGGAGTTAATGGGATAAATTCAGAATTTAACATTAAAAAAGCCTTGTTGGATCAGAACAAAGTCATGCATAGACTAGTCTTCTGTTCCTACAAGGTTTTTTAGATGCCTATGGAAAAACAGCAGTACATCAGCCAGACTTAAGTGCATAGCCTGCCCCAGATCAGTTCTCCAGGAACTAGTATTAAGAGGCATACTGCCAGTGATACTGCAGATAATATAAATCATCATTTAGTAGCCACTGATTAAGTCTTGATGATGCCAGTGGGTTTGTTCCAAGGACGAGTAAGTCTGCATCCAACCCATCATATGGAAGTTACAAGGTTTAAAAATTTGCAAACCAAGGCACCTCCACAAAGCAAAAATATTGAGTAAAGCACAGCATGTTCAAAGGTTTGTGGTTGTTAGCCTTCCCCAGTAATTAGTTTATACAGTCCAGACCACAATATGGAATAAAGGAAATTGCTCTACTTCAGTGAGTTAGTCATGTCAATTAAAGCCAAGAACTAAAGAACGCAGCATAGATATTTCTGGTTTCAACACTAACAAACCGTATCATATCAAGTACTACTTTTGGGAAGGAAAGGGCATTACCTCGCTGCACTGTGTATCATGATATTCAGCTCAAAAACAGTAATTCATTCTATAAAGCTTTAGTCTTTACATGAAAGAGTAATTGCTTAATGACACTGCCCAACTTCAATCGCTGGTAGCACTTTACCTTTACATGAAGGGCATAAGGAAGCCTACACAGGTGAGTCATCTCCATGCAGCTGGAGGCAGGAATACTGACAAACCTTTACTGAATTCAATCTCATCTAATGAATATCTAGTCCTAAAGAGGAGGGGAAAGACATAGAACCGAACCCTAAACTTGTTTACTCAGAGAAGTATTCCCACTGGGCAGTATCCAATGCTGCTATTCGCCTTATGCTATGGATATAGTGCTGGCTTAAGCAACATCTGCTGGTGTGATGATTTTTCAGTGCATTCCATTGCATCAGCAAATGCTATTAATATTTCACTAGAGGGCCTTTAAGTCAGTGTTACATCAGCAATGTAAGCAGAGCAGCAATACTAGATACTGGCAATGAGTTCAGTGACTCTAGAGATTACCTAGAGATTTGGTACAAGTGGACAGCCTGGTTTTGTCAAGAATCTGGCACATCCAAACCCATTGATTCCAGTAGGAGTATGCATGCCTAACTCCACATGGGACCATGCTAGATATTTAATTTTAGAGTTTAAGCTTCTACTAATCCAAATTACCTGTAACCTATAACAAATCATTTTGGTATGGGTTTTCACATATCTACATAGCATTTCAGTTCATTTGCAAGAAATATTCATGGTTCTACAAGGCTGAACCGTAAGCACAAATTTAACACACAGTTAAACTTGAAATCAATGGGTTTCAGTATACCTATGTCTGTGCTGGATTTAGGCCGGTGTAACAAACATATACCTTAAATGCAATACATTTATTATGTGTAGGACTGAAGGATAAAAGCAACACTGTTTCTCAGGCAAGATGGATTGACTTGTTGGGCTACTTATAACCTTCTAACATATTTGTGTGCTTTCTTTTTTTTTCCTGTAACACATTTTATTCATTTATTTACAATATCTGTGTGCCATTCTATAATGAGACAGAATCTGGAACCATGAACAATACAAAATAAAAGAGAAAAAATTATTATATTAAAACAAAGATGACTTGGGCGAGCATCTCCCCCTGCCAGCAGTATGGGAACCTTCCTCCCCTCCAAAACCATAGAAGTAGAGCCTCCACACTGGGTTTTCTCCTGGTGGTAAGTACTCTTACCATAGGACCATATGGAACCATCCATAGGACCATACGGAACCATCAAGAGAATGTCCTCTGTGACCACAGTGAACAGGCAGTTTGGTAAAATGCTTTCTAGGTATCCTTGTTCCAAGTTGTTTGACCTTGTACACTCATACCAGAACCTTAAACCTAGTCCAGTAGTGGATAGGCAGCCAGTGCAGTTCCTTCAGCAAAGGAGCTGCATACTGAAATGACATAGCTTCTCACACAGCCTAAACTACTGCATTCTGCACAAGCTTAAGCCAGAAGAGCATCTCTATATAGAACATATTGAAACAATCCAGTCTTGAGGTTACGAACACCTGGCAAAACTACCACTGTCACATTGGTGAACCAATCAAGGATGGGAAAAGGCACTGGGAGCCATTGTGGTTACATGCGACTCCAGTGAGCAGCAAACACAAGCGCATCGCCAAACATTTTTTTTAAAAAAGAAATCCTTGTTTTTAATTAAGAGGTAATTAATATTTTCAACAAATACTAACCAACTACATGAATGTATAAAAAGGGTCTCCATAAGTTGGCAGGTTTACGATGCTTTAGGAGAGTAGAAATACTCGAATAAATTTTAAGCACTTAAATTTGAGTGTAAGGGATAAAAAGGCATATCATTATGCCTCTCTTCTCTGACTCATTTGACCTATATTTTGTAGATGCCTGAAGCAAAAGGCTTTTGTTTCAGTTAAGCTTTATAAATTTGCCTCTGTTTAGGGGATATGCAAAACATGTTTTAAGCTTGCAAATTAGGCTAGATACCATTTTTCTGAAATACAATAATTTTATTCCTTTAACATGCCTTTTATTAAATGAGAGATCTTTTCCTTGTACAAAAGGCTCTCTTTATATATTTACTGTATTTCACTGTTAGTGCAATTTTTCTACAAACAGCTATGCAAATAAATAGTTCTAGTGATAAAAAGAAAGCGGTCATGAAGCTAAGATGTTCAGTTCTTATTTACCCTCTTCAAACTAATATGCTATGGATAAAACAGAATATTAAGAATCATGAAGGAAATGGGTGCTTATTATGCTGCTTTCACAAAAGCAACACATACACACACACACTAAGTAGTAGGGGCAGCAAATTCAATGTGCATTTCAAAAACCAAATAGACAAATACCTTTTTAAAAATTCCATATACTCTGTATGCTTGATGAGGCCAGTTCTCATCATTATTGTTTGGAAACATTGCCGATCGATAGCCCAAAGTTTCACATTTACGAGAGCTGTAAAAAGTAGGGAAAAAAGAGAGAAGGGCAAAGTTTAATTAGCAATTTTTAATTTCAAAAAACTGTGAATTCAACAGGGAATTAGAAAATGTGGTGATAATTAACTTCCACACCACTGCCAAACTTTAAAAGAAAATAAAAATCTACCAGGTGATGGATTCTACATGACTTTTTGTATCCTGAAATATCTGTTCATCATCGTTGTCATCTGATTCAAACATTTTATTGTAAATTTGTATACAATTCTTGAAAAAGTCAGATCCTCAAAGAGTACTTACAAATACAAATGTAGTTTTCTTAATCAGTGCCAACATTAGGTAAATCCATTCAAATCCTTTCACACTCTATAGTCTTTTCAGTTGTTGGTAACTTCATTAACAGTGCAAACTTATTCATATCTACTCAGAAGTAAAGTTCTCTAAGATCCATGGGGTTTACTCACAGGTAAGGGGTGAAGGTTCACCTTACCTGGGAGTAAGCCATAGTTAGCTCAATGGGAACTATTTCTGAGTAAATACATATTGGATTACACTGAAAGACTTTATTTTGTTCGGCCTGAAAGAAACAGTGCAGTTACTATGTACTTCAAGCATACTTGCTCCTAGATATTATTATTAAAACGCAAGTAGTCAAGGGAAACATACAATGTTAATTTATTAAAGTTGATATATATACCTTGATAAATATTTTAATGAAATATTTAATGAATTTAATTAAATTTGTTGAGCCAGGGGACTTTAAAGACCAGAGATACATTTTTAAAATCCACACACTGTTTTCTGGTACACAGATAAAGAAGCAATTATTTAAATTTAGAGGCACCTCTATTTTACAAGCACAACAATTTCAGTATTCATTGAAAGAAACCCACACAATGGCCATGGGCCTTAAGCATTCCTTTGCTGTGTAGCTTTTTCTGCCCAGCAAATTTTTGATAGTACCATTTTTCTGTTGTTCAGCTTGGCTGTTTGATCATGTTTAGCAAATAAGTTTAGACATTATTAGCATAATTGTGACAATAAGAACAGGAAGATCAGGGCTTCCAGTGTGGAGAAACTAGAAAGCAAATCAAGCTATCTGAACCTTATCTGGTTTAAATTTCATTTGACCCAATCCAGCCAAATATATATGAATTTCAGTCCCATCAATTTCAATAAAAGAGAGTTATTTTATTTATTTATTTCCTGATTTATATCCTGCCTTTTTCCTACAAAGGGCTCAAGGCAGCTTACATCATTCTCCTCCTCCATCTTCTCCCTACAACAACAACCCTGTGAGGTAGGTTGGGCTGAGAGTCTGTGACTGGCCCAAAGTCACCCAGTTGGCTCTGTGGCTGAGCGGGGACTAGAACCCAGGTTGTCTGAGTCCCAGTCCCATGCTCTTAACCCATATGCCACACTGGCTTGCAACTGTTAACCACAACAACTGTTTTTGTCTTACAGTGCCAGGTTGGAGAAGGCTGAACTAAACAGTGCAATCATATGTAGGTATATTTAGAAGTAAATCACACTGTGCATAGGTTTGCAGCCATAAGAGAATTAAACTTCTTAAATATACCATGGTTTTCTCCATGTGCACCATTCTGAGAAGCCGTTTCTTGACTTTGACTGCTCCAAGTTTTGATGGAAACTTTCCAGCTGATTCTTCCAGCCCAACAAAATTAATTACTGATAATTACTCTAATAGCCATTTGACTTTGATGGAATGTGTAACTGAGCCGTGTGATCCGTTACATAAATGTTTCTGCCTGACAGTAGATAACAGAATCCATTTGTGCATACATTTCTTCATGTGATATAGGAACCATAAAATATTGGACTCTGGCCTGGGCTTTGAAGTCCTATGGTAAATACATAGCATAAAATTTGGTACAGAGTATTTATAATGCAGTCATTCATGCATTGGCTATAAATACACATATTGTTATTCCAGCTGACCAAAATGTATAAAATGATGATTGGACTTCTTGCATTTGACTGTGAAATGAAGTTCCTTTTGCTGAGGAAGGAAGTGAAAAGATGCAGCCTTCACAGCCAATCTGAAGCAACATATGGAGAAAGCAAATAGAATTATAAGAAGAAACTGTGAAAAGGAAAACAAAATCCCAATGATTTTAACCTATGTATGATGTTCTTAAATATTGAATATGGAACCCGGTCACACCACCATATATGACTCTACCTCAACATTAGTTACCAGTTCAGGATTCATCATGGTTTGCTTAAATCCAACCCACAATTTGTTTTGAAAAGTTAGACACCTAATTAAGAATAGCAGAGTTTAGAGAATTTAAAATAGAAACAATGAGTGATTATGTAAATGTCATTAAGCAGACTAAAATGATCTGGATAGTGATTGTCCAATCTTATGTGCAGCACCAAGAACACTATTGGAGTATCTAAACATGGCATTGATACTCTAAGAGAGGCATTCAGTGTGGCTGCCCATAACCCTCCAAACTCAGAAGGTTATGGGCATCCAATAAGACATGGAGGAATTCAATCATTGCAAAAGACACAGACAGGTAGTTTCATGTGTTCCAAAGATGATTGTCCATTTTAGAGCCACCACTAGTATGGACAGAATTACACCTGCTGCAAGGGCAGAGGGAGGCCCTCCAAAGATGGAGTCCCTGCTGTGATCTCAAAGGGCTTTTACAAGGATTCAGTGGAAATTCCAACTTTTCCTATGGCCATCCAGTCATAGCATTATGCCCTGCGTGAATCTGATTGAGGATAAGTGAGTCGACTGCAGGAATCCTATGCATACTTTACAGGGAATAAGTTTGATTTGAATGGGTCTTACTTCTGGGTAAAAGCACTAAAGATTGAGCTGCACCATTACAGTGCAATCCTATGCATTACCTACTCAGAAGTGGGTCCCATTGAATTAAGAGGGACTTACCTTCTGCTAAGTATGTATAGCATTACACCTAAAGCTCCAGAAGTCCAAAAATACATCAAGGACTGATAGAGTTTTTTTACTGCCTGATTCTTTGTTATATTGAAATATTTGCTAGCTATTCTGGAAAGCCAGAATAATTTTTCTATGAAAGTTGTGAAAGTGTAACTTTCATAAAAGAGGCCATCAAAACATCTGTCAGAGCTCTACTGGGTTTACGTTTATAACCAAGTGTATCTCAACCATGAAATATTATTTGACTTTTTTCAGGAACAGCCCATAAATCAGTCAAAGCATAATGATGTATATGGAGACATTCTTGGATTTGATTTCCAGTAACAAGGATCTCACAGAAGCAGCACTGGGAAGGGCTTTGCCTAGGGTCTAAAGGAACCATTGGCAGCTTCATATGTTCCGGCCTGAAAATTAGCATTTCTATGCAATGGTGGCAAAACTGTGAGCTTCCATCAAAATGACTATTGACGTTACTGATGGGGAAATGGAAATGGGAAGGCAAGTAGGTGAACCAAAAAGCTTAGGGTGCAATCCTGTGAATGTTCAGACACAAAGCGACGTACAGCTTTGCCCTGGCAAAGTTTGCTGACTGTTAGGGCCTTTTTGTTTACATATGCAAAGGACTGTGTTCCTATCAAGAGGAAATGACCAAAGAGGTTCCGTGTCTTTCCCATTTTGCATCCTCATGTGTCTTCCTGCATGTGTACATGGAAAAGTGGTTATTTCCCTGCATACAAGAGAGGGGAAGGGTATTCCTCAAAAACAGGAACAGAGACACATTGTTTCCAGGATGAAAGAGCAGAACCAAATGTCCGGATGATCTCACCTGCAATTTGGAAGCTGCCTGCATTAGATGCTTGGATTGTCATTTATCTTTTCAAGCTGGGATTTTCAGTGCCCTGAATAAATGTGTGGCCACTTGCATGGTGCTGCATAGCAAGTGCTCTGAGTAGCCTGCAAGATGATAGAGTGAATGCAGAATGAATTGAGGCAGTGGGCAGTCATGCGTTTGAAGCTGAATTAAGCAGTCACTTAGAATTTCGCCACTGACGTTTCCCATGTCTGCTAAATACATGTACCTTGTGAGGATAAGATTGAGAGCAGCAGCAGGAGGAAGAGAATGTTAAGCCATGCTGAGTTCCTTAAAAAAGAAAAAAAAAAGTGGACTATCTAAAACAAACAAATAAATAAATGAAACCCTTCCACCCAGTTTTTCTGGCTCTCCTAATCATTCAAAATGTTCAATAATACTAATAATAATTTTTAAAAACCTACAGGATATTGAGGATAATGAAAATGTTCTGGTGCATTCATGCATTCTGCAAAATTCATCAATAGCCATCTGTTAGCTTTTCTAAAAAGATTGCCCATATTGATAACATATAAACATAACCACACATTAAAATATAACCCTGGCAAAGGCATAACTGAGGCAACAGAACACAGTAAACAGAGTATATGTCATGTGATTAAGAGTCCATCTGTATTAGCTAAACTATATTTTTGCATAGTGCTATTTTGTTCCATATTTTAGCCTGAATGGATCTTATGACATAATAAAAGTTTATGCATGTATGTATAGAAGATGGTAACATGAAAACAGCTTGGAATAGCCTGTGTTTGCATTTATGGGGACAAAAGCCTCCGGGAAAAATACATGTCATATTTGTTTCCCAACTATATGTCTGATGATTAATGTGAAATTCATGGAAGCATTTGAAGGCCAGAACTGGGACCAGAATTGATGCATTGTTTTGTTTTCTTGCCTGCTAAAACAGGTTACTTCAAATATATTTAGCAGTTACATCTTATTTCGTTCTTGCTCTATAGTAGGTGCACAGTCCAATCCAGATTTGCTAGTGAAGGAGAAGGGAAAGGGAAAGGATGGTACAGCAGCTAGACGCCTGCTTTTACTTTTGGTTTTCATATGCCTGCTAATTTTCAATTGGAAATGACTTCCTGTCCTCACAATCATTTTTCAGCCTAGACTCAGAGCCCAGATAAACCAGGAAAGTAAAAATGTGGCTGGACAGCATATGCAGATGGGGTAATTGCAGGTTAGTATAAGGATAAAGCACCTT